AATCAAGATAAAAGGAATAGAATCCAACAAACATGGCAAACATTAAGTGCTATCTGTCTTAAATATAATTTTAATAGCACTGAGTAAAACTCACTTATAACGTAGAATTTTAAGTGAGGAGTGTGTCAAAGATGAAGAGGCATGAGACTCATTATTATCATGCAATCAGTTCTAAGTTGAAATGCATTCAAAACCTTTACTGAAATCTTTATTTCAAAAGTGAACATTATTTCAATAGTAGTTGCAACCTATGTTTGTTATTGAAATGCAATCTCAACCACTATTGAAATAATTATTTCAATAATAGTTGCAACCTATATTTGTTATTGAAATACCCTCTCAACCATTATTGATACAATTATTTCAATAGTGGTCGTTATTTCAATAGTGGTTGCACTCTTAACCACTTTTGAAATATTTCAATAGCGGTTGTATTTCAATAGTAGTTGTAGCCTATGTTTGCTATTGAAATGCACTCTTAACCACCATTGAAATAATTATTTCAATAATAGTTCAACCTATGTTAGTTATTGAAATATTCTCTTAACCACTATTGATACAATTATTTCAATAGTGGTCGTTATTTCAAAAGTGGTTTGCAACATCTCTCTCTCTCTCTCTCTCTCTCTATCTCTCTCTCTCTCTCTCTCTCTCTCTCTCTCTCTCTCTCTCTCTCTCTCCAGTAATCTCAATCACTGCAGGGATAAAAACCCTCCAGTATTTTTTTTACCTGAGGTATTTACCTGTCCACAGTCTGTAAGCTGGGAAATTGTCCGTCCTTCTCCAAGACTTTCCTCATCACCAATGGCTGACTCTTCTTAACAAACTCCTCATGAAAAACCCAGGGGGAGGGAAACTTCTCAGAGACTGGGATCCCACCCATGGGATCCATATGACTTCCCAGGGGTTCAAGTGTCCAGGAGGGGTATCCATAACTTCACTGAGTGCCACTGCCAACATCACTAAAGCTAGTATACAGCTCTTCATAATATAATATCACTTTTCAGTCATTATCGCATTACACCTCTGAAATATCTTTGGCGATCGTTAGCTGCAGAACCGTAGCGCTATGGTTTTATATGCTAGTCTTTGACCATAACGCTACAGATCCCGTGATGCAAAAAATGAGCAATTTACATCGAAAGATTTTTTGCGCACTTTTTGGGATAATTTCTACACTTTCCAGCATTGGTCGATCAAGTACCTTTCACTTCCAAATTCTAGACATATTCTAACCAATCTGTATATATTTTATCCACCTCCCAACTCTTTATAGTCATCAAACTCGAATGTTATGTTGGACTGCAGAAAATTCAAGTCTGTTCAAATCGTAACACCAAGTGTAAGGGTGGGGCCACAATGGAAAATCAAATTTTTACATTAGAAAATAGAGATAAAAAAAACTTTTTAAGCACCGCCGAAATATTATTGAAATATATCCGTCTCGACGTAAAACAGCAATCAATCAATCTTAATAAATATTTAAGGCAGGGGGTGAACGGATACGCAGAATCCTGGTGGCTATACCCCTATTTATATATCGGATACACATCAATGCTATGTCTCATTTTCTGTTGCCAACAACGGATTAAACTTTTCTTTATTTCTTGACTCAGATTTATCTTGATTACATTGCATTTAACATTTTGTGATCCTTAGCACAATAATTCATTAGTTTGCTCACGTCGGATGTCCAAACGACATTTTCGTTACGAAAACTAAAAAAAAACACTACACACATGTAACACGGAAAATATGGACAGGTGGCCTTAGGAAATATGAGACCAAATATAAATTCCATTCTTAAGCACCAGGAAAAAAATCTGCGGAAATGTGAGACCAAATATAAATTTCATACTTTAGCACCAGGAAAAAAAGATTTATACGAGGATCATTCAAAAAGTTCGTAGACTTTTGTCCTAACTTTTTTATTTAACGTCATATTATATCCAAATTTGGTACAAATATTTTAACAACAGATTCAAATAATTTGAGTAAAAAAAATGGAATGTATCCTCATAATTATTAAAATTACCAAGGATTTAGAACAGCAAAAATGGGGTCATGGAGCACCGTCAAAATTGAGTAATTTTCTAATTTTCACTTTATAGTATTTACAGCTATACCTCTAATAAATTGAGCTGAAACGACATAAAATTTACATGTTTAAATAAAGTATTGCTGTATTAATTAAAATGAAATCAGGTTATGTAATATCTCGTTCCATTTAAAAGATATCAACTTCTAAATACATATGGACTTGATTAAAAAAGGCAAAAAACCATGACATTAGAGGACGTCACGGAGCAGCAATTAGCAATAAAATTAGACTTTACATTAGTGAAACTTTTTCTACAAGCTTAAAAAATATTTATAAATCAGGATCTGTATGAAAAAAAATCTGTGTATTTGTATGAAGTTGAATATACAATTTTTGAGTGGTAGCGAGTTTGAATCGGACGATGGATTGTCTGCAAAGAAACGGGTTAAAGTTAAAAATATTGTCAAAAGAGTTAGGAACGTCATTGAACGTGATGTGTGTTTCAATGTTGCAGAAATAATAAAGTTGCATGGTAAATCAAAGAATTTGAAAACAGTAACATTCTAATTCAAGCTATATTTGTACAATTGTTAGCAAACCAGGTGTTAAGCATTGTGGATATGTGTTTTGAATGGAGAAGACGCAACAAACCGTGTTTGAAATAACAAAAATGTATATACTTTTGACAAACTTTCTCAGCGTTGTTTTTGACGTTACAATATTGGATAACCGTGCTCCGTGGTAACAAAACATGATGCTTTTAATTTTGGCTAACGTGAGTTCTGTTTAATCAAATGGAATGAAATTTCACACTTCGACAAAATAAATGTTTATGTTTACGAAAATGTGTTGATCTATAATTTTGTAATAATCATATGACGAGGAGAAGCATTGTCTACGTATTTTTTGAATGACCCTCGTAAATTTCTGGACTCATATTTATGTTGATTACATTGAATTGGATTTTTCTTAATTCTTAGCATAATATTTTATTAATTTGCACACGTCGGACAAGCATTTTGGGAAAGACTTGTACATGTTGTACTTCTCAAGTTAGGATGGACGCTGCTACCTACCTACCTACCTAGTCCTTGTTGCACCCGGAGGCACACAGGGTAAGGACTAGGGATTTCCACTCCTCTCTATTCTTTGCAATCTTCTCCACCTCTCCCCAGGTGAGATTTATCTCCTTTAGTTCTTTCTCCACTGTTCGCCTCCATGTTGTTTTTGGTCGGCCTTTCCTTCTCTTCCCTTCTGGGGTCCATCTGAGTGCCACTCTTGTGATGTCATCTGTGGGCTTTCTCAAGACATGGCCTATCCACCTCCATCTATATTTTACTAGTAAGGTCCTCATGTCTGTTGTTTTAGTTGTTTCATGCAAATCTTTGTTGGTTATTTTTGCTGGCCAGAATATCCTCAAGATCTTTCTGAGGCACCCATTATGAAAACTTGATAGTTTCTTAATGTCACTTTCAGTCATCCTCCAGCATTCAGCACCATACATTAAAACAGATAGGACACAGCTATTATACAGTTTGATCTTAGTATGTCTGCTAATACTGCTTGACTTCCATATGTTCTTAAGCTTGACAAAGGCTCCTCTGGCTTTACCTAATCTTGATATTATGTCCTTGTCAGCTCCGCCATCTGATGTTACCACACTTCCCAGGTATGTAAAATAATCTGTATTTTTGATATCTCCTCCATTCAATTGTATTTTGGGTGGGCTTTTTGTATTAAGGGACATTACTTCTGTTTTCTTTATGTTGATGTTCAATCCGATTTTGCTGGCATTTGTTTGTAAATTAGATGTTTTTCTTTGCATTTGTGTTTCCAGATGAGATAATAAAGCCAGGTCATCTGTATAATCTAAGTCCTCTAGTTTGTTGAAAAGAGTCCATCTGATGCCGGTATTCTCATCACTAAGGGTTGATCTCATTACCCAGTCTACTGCTATAATGAACAGTAGAGCTGACATCACACATCCTTGTCTCACTCCTGACTTAACAAGAAAGCTTGTGTTTGATGATCTACCAATAGAGCATTTAAATTCTGCATAAAATGCTTTTATTAGGTCAACTAGTTTAGATGGTATACCGTAGTGCCTCAGGATTTTCCACAAACTGTCTCTGTGAATGCTATCAAAAGCTTTTTCGAAGTCAATGAAGTTTATGATGAGTTTTCTTTGCCACTCTGTGCACTGTTCTATTATGTTTCTTAGTACAAATACTTGGTCACAGCAGCTCTTTCCTTTTCTGAAGCCTGCCTGTTCTTTCCTTAGTTTTTTATCCACTGCTGTCTTTATTCTGCTTACAATTATTTTACTGAATATCTTGCTTGGTATAGAGAGTAAGGTAATACCTCTCCAGTTGTTACAGTTTGTGAGGTCTCCTTTCTTTGGTAGTTTAATGATGCTACCTTCAGACCATGTTGTTGGTATCATGTTGTACTTCCATATCTTGCAGAAAAGAGGATGAAGGATATCTGCTGCAAGGATAGGGTCTGTTTTGAATATTTCAGCTGGTAGGTTGTCATTCCCAGGTGCTTTATTGTTCTTTAAACTCTTGATTGCTGTGATTATTTCTAATTTTGATGGTTCATTTATGTTGATATCTAAGTCAATGTTTGCTTCAGGTATTTCTGCTCTGTTGCTTGGATCTGGGCGGTTTAGTATCTCTTCAAAATGCTCCTTCCATCTTTGTTCTTGGTCTTTATCAGATGTAATCATTGCGCCCTGCTTGTCTCTTACTGGCACACATGCATTTCTTCTTTGTCCACTAAGTTTCTCGGTGATCTGATAAACATCGCCCATTCTCTGTTCTGATGCTGCTTTTTCAGCTTCTTGTGCCATATTTTCAATGAAGTTCTTACGGTCCCTCTTTGTGGCCTTCTTTATTTCTTTGTTACTGTCAGAGTATTGGTCTCTTAATTTCTCTTTTATTCTTTCTGAGTGTGTGGTTCACAACCTCTTCTTTAGTTCTTTTCTGCTGTCAATGAGTTTCCATGTACCTGGTGTTATCCATTCTTTGTGTATCTGTTTTCTGAAGCCAATAACTTTCTCACTTGCATTGTTAAATGTATCTTTTACTTTCAGCCAGTGTTCGTCTATCTGCTCTTCGTCTAAATCACTAGCTTGCAAGATAGAAAATCTGTTTTTCAGCTCTAATCTAAAATCTTGCTTGGTTTTTGTGTCACTAAGCTTGCCAACATCGAATCTTTTCCAGCTGTACTTTGGTATAGTTTTCATCAGTTTAAGTTTAAAATCTGCAGTTACAAGGTGATGATCACTGCCTACATCTGCACCTCGTCTTACTCTCACATCCTGAAGAGATCGTTTCCATTTACCATTTATAACAATATGGTCTATCTGATTTTTGTCTCTTCCTCCGGGTGATATCCATGTGAGCTTGTGTATGTCCTTGTGTGGGAATAACGTCCCACCTATAACCATGTTGTTGTTACCACAAAACTCTGCCAAATGTTCACCATTCTCATTCATGGTACCACAGCCATATTTTCCCATGACTCTTTCATATCCGGTGTTGTCTTGGCCTATTTTTGCATTAAAATCTCCCATGATGATGGTTAAATCATGTTTGGTAATCTTTTCAAGTTCGGCTTGTAGTGCTTCGTAGAAGTCTTGCTTAGTTTCATCTTCTGCCTCATTAGTAGGAGAGTAGACTTGTATGATGGATGTTTTAATTGGCTTTGTGTCGAGTCTTGCTCTCATCATTCTCTCACTTACAGGATGGTACTCTATCAGTGACTTCCCTGCTGCTTTACTCAGAATAATTGCTACTCCCTCGTGATGTCTACCATCTTTTCTTCCTGAGTAAATGATTACCTCACCGCTGTTTGTCATGATCTTTCCAAAATCTGTCCATCTGCATTCACTTACTCCTAGTATGTGTAACTTGTTGTTCTTCATCTCTCTTACTACTTGCGCCTGCTTTCCTGCCTCGTACATGGTACGGACATTCCAGAAGCCGATCTTAAGTTTGGTTCTCGTGCTCAGTATACTCTTCATGCGACCAGCTTCCTGTTGGCTTTCACTGGCTGCATTCATACGCGCAGATGGCTGCTGGTATTCTGATGCCTCGAGAAAGGATGAATTTCTCCTAGTCCTCGTATCCGTAATCATTCAGTTTTCACGAGAAGGGGAGATTACCCCCTTGCTCAACCTCCAACTTGGTGGACCAGGGATTTGTAATCGAGGTTGCCTTCCTCTAGAATGGTTGCCTGCCATAGCTCATGAAGCCATTCTCTCCAGGTTTTCTAAGATTTTCTGTCTGGATTTTCTTCCATAGCCTTTGACTTTCCCAAGCCGTCCACAAGGCAGTGGAACTATTTAACCCATAGCTGGGAACTAGGTTTGCAGGTATCAGGGCATATCCAAACGCCGTTGGGCCATGCATACCTTGCATTTAGGGGCCTAGTTTCCTCCAAGACCCTGTGGTTCTGCTTGGGGCCGCAAGGTACCCAATTACCATCTGCTACCTCGAGGAGGATCCCATATCTGGGCCACATTGGTCTAACTGTGGAGAGGCTATACCTGGCAGAGAAGACTTACATATTACATAGGATGGACGCTGCGCCTGGCTTTTTTTTTCTTACTTAATTCACTAGGTTTCTTCCCAACGAAAACTTAAAAATCCAACAGCAAAACACGGAAAGTATAGTGATCTTTGGAAATATGAGCTCGAATATAAATTTCATACCAAAAGACCAGGAAACAAAAACAAAAATAAATTTGAGAAACTATTATTCCACTATTTAAAGCACAGATACAATGGCACTCAGCACATCACTAGACATGTAAGTAGAAAAAAAAACTTTTGATAAAAATTACGTATACATACATGTAAAACAAATGTATTTTATAAAAATTATAAAAAAAAAAAAAAAGGTTTCAGGTCATTTTTCTCCTAAACCGGTTCTCTCCTAGGTTATTTCTTCTCTTCCATACATTTTCACGATAGGACATTTCTCTAATAATCTGTGTCTTTATCATGCCTTTTTTCAAATAAAATCTATGCATATCAGTGATTTAAAACTGCAAGCGGAAGGGTCTGCTTCATAATTAATGGTAATGAATATTAAATCAAAGAAACTAATGTTAAATATTCACTATATTGTTGCGGAACTTTTGCCATCTGGAGGGCTTCTTTGTCCATTATAAAGGAAACAAATATAATCAGTATTATAAAAGAAGATACATGTACTCGTATTTATTATGTAAATGCAAAATTTACTATTGTGACATGACCCGGCGAGTTTTCCTTTGAAGTCACGCATACTGTAATTGTGATACAGAACACTTTTTGTGGGCGTTTCTTATGCAAATGAGCAGAAACTGTACTGTATCTGGAAAATATCAACGATATAGTACGGTTTATTTTTAGCGATGAGGGAAAGCTGAATCTGTGTACAGACACAAGAATCGTTCAATTCCCATGAAAGCACTGTTAGTATTTACTCAAAATTTGAGGTGAATTAAGAATAAAATTTTACAACGTAAAGTTATTAGTGTCGAATTCAAAAATTTTAGAAAGGAGTAATGGAACAGTTCACAAAATGATTACTATCCCCCCCCCCTGAAAAAAAATAAGTGGAAACTCGTATATTATACTCGGGGAGGGGGGTAGATTTATAGCCAACCAAGACACTATGTGGTGCTATCGTTTATTGTTGATAAATTAAAAAGCGTATGTATATAAGTTTAGCAAAAATCATTTACGAAAGCGAAAAAGAAAAAAAAAACTCAAAGGAGGGTTGAGTGGGAGCACCAGTGAGTGCTGGGACTGGGATCCCCCTTTAGTTACGCTACATTTTATTAAAAACATGAAGGTAAAATACTCCCCCCCGCTTTCATTTCATCTGTTTATTTCATTTTTTTAATTTACGACAGGTGTAGGACATTGTCGGACATTTCTTTCAGAATACATTTTCCCCGAAGTATTTGTGTTTCAAAAACATTCCCGCATGATTCTTATATATTTAAAAAAAACGTTTTGCATTTAATCGTAGCTTATATGGAAAAAAAAGAAGTCGGCAACAGCTGAATAGAGAAAAGAAAATACGCAATCAAATTTAATTTTTTTTTTTGGAAAACCAATGATATAATGCATCCCCTAAATAATTATTTTAAAATGATAAATACCTGCACGTCCACCTCTCTCAGCATTTCACTTGCGAATACTTAAAATGGGATACTAAATCAACTTTCTGCTAAAATCATCTGATTGGTTGAGAGATATTTTCCCAAATATGAATGTAAATAGGTCAGGTCATTAGAAAGGTCATGTCACAAGTCATTTAGAATACTCGTTTCCTACTGTATCAGAGATACAAGGCGGGGCCCGGCTCGAGCTATCGCTCTCGCCTCAAGCCCCGCCCTGTATCTCTGATACAGTAGGAAACTCGTACTCTAAATATAACTAAATGGTTTATTTCAATGCACTGATATAAATACATCTTACAAATCAGATCGTGTAAATAGGAAAATCATAAGACAGATATGAAGTCAGATGAAGTTAGATGGAATAGAGACATGCTCTTTTCCGTCTGGCAAGTCAGATGGTTTTAACCAATCATTGACAAGGTCAGAGAGGTTGATCTATATAAAGAACAACTAACATGTGGATTTTTCCCGCACTTTTTCTCCAGATAATTCAATATCAATTAATCTTATTAATTGCAATTAAAATGTGGGGAAAATCTTGGGATATCCTTCTTTTGCTTGCTCTCCATTCAAAATGGCTGGGAAGAAAGGGAAGAGCTAAAATTAACAACAGAGCAGACCGAAAGACTCATTGACCTATACCAAGAAGAAATAGATTTATGGAATTTTTCTTCTGCTAATTACCATAATAAGGATTGCCGAAGAAAAGCTTTAGAAAATACTCTGACAAAGTTGAAGGAGGATTTCCCAGGTATAAATGGAACCAGTAAGTATTATTTTCTTTTAGTCTTTGTCTTTAAATCATTAAAAAACATACAACATACAAAAGTGCAAGATAATTTTTTACTATATATATATGCAAATAAATAACATGACTGATTGTTCTCTTAATAATTACAGTTGATTTGTTGCAAACCAAGCTGTTTAATTTGAGAGGGTACTACTCACGGGAGATAACAAAACAAAAAAAGCCAGGAGAAGTGGGACTAGCACGGAGGAAGTTTATAGAAGTCAGTGGACCCACTTTGCTGCTCTAGACTCATTTTTAAGGGCTCAAGTAACACCAAGAGTTAGCCAGTCAAACTTGGTGAGTACACCTACGCCATGTCCCATTGCCATGGTACTTGGCCATCACTGTTAAAATAATCACACAGTTCATCTCTGATATATCGTGCATCAGAGGATGCACGGTTTCCTCCCTGCTGAATTATTGGACGTAAAGGCTCTGTATTTTCTTGTCTCCATTGCCCTGGTTGTACAGTCCTTGTGTCTGTATATTCTTCATCAAATGTTCCAGATGGGGAGTATTTTGCTTTAAACAGAACTTTGGTGTGTAGATACATGTAATTATGGAGAGCACAACAAGCTAAAACAATTTTCTGAGCCTTTTCTGGTTCCATATCAAACTCGGAATCTACTGGATAAAATACTAAAAACATTCTCAACAACTCTCCTTGCCCTTGATAGCCTGTAGTTAAATATTCTTTTTGATCAATCCAGTTGTCTTGAAGGATAGGGCTTCATGAGGTAGGTTTTTAGAGGGAAAGCTTCATCACCAACGATAACATAGGGAAGAGGGCTTTCTCTTCCAGGCAAAAGTTTCCCAGGTGGTAAATTTAATGACTTCTCTTCTAGAGCTTTAAAAATAGATGAATTAGCAAATACACCCCCATCAATGATTTTACAATTACATCCAACATCAATATATAGAAATCTATAATCTGCATCAACCAATGCAAAAAGAACAATGCTGAAAAATTGTTTGTAGTTGTAATACATTGATCCACTTTTTATAGGGCATTTTATTGCTACATGTTTTCCATCCATTGCAGCAATACAATTAGGGAAATTCCATTTCTCCTCAAACTGCTTAGAAACTTTATCCCATGCTTCAACTGTATCTGGCACCTGAAAGAAACAAAATATTCTTTTTTTAGGATTCAAGCAGTCAAATTGATGATGAAGATATTGATGGACGAGAAGACACACTTTCTGAAACTTCAAACCTAGATGATGGATTTTAACCACAAAACAGGAGCAGTAAGAGAAAGAGAATAACTGGAGCAGAGGCTGTCATGACAGAGGCTGTATCTGTTTTAGCGAACTTAAAAAACCGACCACAGCCCAAAGAGTCTGCCAAGGAGATGGACGAGGATGTTGTGTTTGGTCAATACGTAACAGTTGAAATGAGGAAAATAGAGGATCCAAGGAAAAAAGCTTATATAAAATTTAAGATACAGTCTCTCCTTTTTGAAACACAATTTGGTTCAGGATCAGATATGGCCTCTAACAACTTCATTTCAAACGATAGAAACCAAGCAGCTTCTACAAATCAGAGCCAAACTTATGGAAGTTCCAATTGGATGAATTTGTCTTCATGGATGACATACACTAACCTCTAATGTTAAATAAAAAACAATAAACTAGAAGATTATCTTGAGATACTCCTCCTTCAAGACTGTATATGGCTTCGCATGTCTCGGGAACTATTTTGGACAATGTGGACACTGGAACTCGGTATAAATATGATATTGACTGATAGCTGTCTCCTGTGAAATATTGAATACAATATCAATGTTATTGGTAATCAAAATGAAATAAAAATGTATAAAATCCATTGAAGTAAGTTTCACATTTACCTGTTGCTAAGTATCTGAGAGTTAATGACAATCGCTCAGCTGCAGATATTGCTTCCCGCATGCATGTGTCTCGTCTCGGGGATACCTTTTGAAGTAGATCATCAAAATCTGCTTTGTCCATTCTTACAAAATTTATGAAGCCATTTTGGTCTTCCTCAGCTAATTCTCTTGCTAATGCATGGTACGCACCATGCTCTTTTCGACGCCCTAACCAAGGTCTCGTCCATGTTCTTCTGTTTCTTCTACGATTGTTTAAATGATAAGCATCGGCTATCATTAAAACACAAATGGCTATTAAACTATCATCATCCTCCATTGTGAAATGTAAACAAAAAAAATTTTGGAGGGAAATATTTATGACCGTCATGTCTGACAAATCATACCGTGTAAATGAAACACTGGAGTCAGATGTGAAATCACTCTGACAAATCAGATCGTGTAAATAGGCCTTAACATGGATACCCACTTCTGCCCCAGCCCGGGGTTGAACTCTTGACCTTCGGAATCTTTCTCCTAGCAGTGCAGGAACAGCGCGCTAGACCGCTCGGCTATCTAGGCAAGTCAAAAAACTTGCTTTCGATGCCGATGGAATTCTTGCGGCGCTGCCCTACACTACACGCTCATTAGTCAGCCCCCGGGCTGACTAGTTACGTTAGGATGAAACTGCAAGTGCGCTTGCGTTAATCGAAATTGTGGGGAAAAGATTTTCACAATTTTCTCCAACCAGAGGGCGTGCTTCTTCACGCACACTCACGACCTCGATCTATTTATAGACTGCATTGTTCTTCATCGTTCTCGACGAAAGTTAATGACATAGACTGTTCAGCAAATTGTCAGATTTTAAATGATTCTATGAAAATATTTAATTACTTCTAATAGAAGATAAGTAAATTTATTCCCTCAAAATACTGTAAAACAGTAAATTCTCAGAATTTACATGATGATGAACGTGTAAGTCCGCTTGTGCACGTGAACTGCACCCACATTTGAGAAATTGACCACAGTGGAAATGCAATAGCTGAGAGAACTGTGCTGATTTATAGACAGGATCAACACCCTCCCCTCCCCAATGAAAGGAGAGAGAGAGAGGGGGGGGGGGGAGATGGATTCCAGTATTTAATCTATAGTTTTGCTATGATGGTAGACATCATCAAAGACATTTTAAGTATAGGCTACGAATGCATGTATAAACATATTTTGAATTTCCATCTTAAATTGTTTTCCGTGGCTTTCATTATTTTTTGGAAGCAATTCTTTTCTTCCGAATAACACTAAAATGGATGCTCAAATATAGAAATTGAATTAAATATACATGCAGTACCCCCCCCCCTTTCCACATCATGCATTGCCTCGAAATGCACAACTGAAAACTGTTATTCAATAATATTTAAAACAATCTAACACAAAGTCTACCTTCCTTTTATTCATCATAATCTATATTTCATTTTTATAGAATTCAACGTTATCTTAGTTGCCATGTTGGCTTTTGTTCATTTACCGGTATGAGATGATCTGCGCCGAAGAGAATTCATTGGAGATCATTGCAATGATCACGATGCAGACTAGCCAAAATTTACTCTATGTCTTATTATTTATTGTGTTCAGTATTATGTTACAAATAAGAAAACGATTACAAGAATTTAACTTTTCTTACATTTGCATTTAGGCAAATCAAAAAACTTGCTTTCGATGCCGATGGAATATATATATATATATATATATATATATATATATATATATATATATATATATATATATATATATATATATATATATATATATATATATATAGTGATTTTGTTAAATGTACCATAAATCCGATAGACAATAATTATAAAATTTGCATTTTTACCTTATATATTTTTGATAAAAGCTGTAAAATGTAGATAAAGCAAAGAGAGCAATGACTTACCGGGTACTATTTAATCAGTTTTTTTATGATCGATATTAAAAATAAATTAAAATAAAATTGATTAATTTTATGAAAATAAAATATTAAAAATTAAATTTTTATATTCAATTTGATCAATCATTTATCTGGAATAAATGATTAAAGAAATAAAATAATGCAAATAAATAAGAATTTTTAACATACCAGTGTTTGAAAATTTCAATACTTATTCAAATATTTCCATTCTTAATTTTTTTTCTCTGTGATAACTCTTTCAAAGTAAGCGGAGTTGATTTCTTGATCATTCTACCGGAATGTTAATTAGGCGGGTCGATAGTTCAGGAGTTAAGGAGGCCTAATATGCATGTAAATCTCGTGCGCATCTGTATATGTGCCTGACGATTAGGAGGCCAAATATGCTGCCTTTGTGCTTGACGTCCATGTGGGAGGACTATTGAAATTGACACAGGAGTCCTCGTGTATTTAAATCTATGACTACATTTATGAAATCTAACTCTACAGTTTTATTTTACAATGAAATGGAAATATAAGGAATCACTACCTAGTTAGTATAGTATGCCAGGGACATCAACGATAGTGGGAAACATCGGAAAATTTATGCATAACGGAATCCGCCCCTTATTATTCTATATTTCCAACTATCGTTGATGCCCTTGTATACTAGACTAACTAGACAGTGATTCCTTGATTATATTACAAGTATAAAGAACTTGTATGAAAATGCTAAAAGTTTAAAAATACACATTTGTTTTTAATGTTGAGTGAAATATCCGAAGTTGTGAAGTGAAATGATCTAGGTAAGGGAGGGAAATGACTTAGGAGAGAAATTACTTGGGCGGAAATTACCACGCAATTGAGGGATTTGCCCAGGATTCAAAAATAATATAGTATTAAAATTCTTGTAATTATTATTATATTGACTAATTAACTTCAAAGTGTCGTTGTAACTGTTCAAATTTTCATTGCCAGTGAATTAGGTATACAGGGTATGTCAGAGTTCGTGTTTATGGGTTTGTGTCGAAAAGTTGGGACTTCACAACTGGTAACAATGAGGAGAGACACGGCTGATATTTCCGAAAAGATACGAACATCCGTACTGAGTGAATTTGGTTTATTAAATTCTGGAAGTATGAGAGAGGGATTCAGACTAAAAGGATCAGATAGAGATAACATGGCTTGGTCAAATGAATACAAAGTGATTTGGGATTTACTTCAGACTCAGTACTACTATAGACACAAAGTTATATTCGCCAACTGCACAGAAAGTCCTCCAGGGTTTGCTTTACTTCAGCTAATGACAAGAAATGTACACAGATTACTTCAAGCATCTTGTATTTATATGAATGGTAGACTTTATATATCAAGTTCAAAATTCAAACATACATTTCTTTCTATTAATGAAAATCTTTGGGGTGGGGATAATTATTTTCTGCATGGACCCTGCTTGAGTGGAGTGCAAAGGGGTAATGATGTTGATATTGCCTATTGTTTTGCAAGTAACTTTTGGCCTCCATCTGCTTCGTTATGGATTGAAAGATGCAACACATGGCCTCGACCGCATGTCGTTCAACAAATAGTTAAGGGTGGATGTCATTTTGTAGCCATAGGACACAAACTAGGAAAACATGGAGACAACGAATGGAGAATTTCGTTTTCTTTGGCAGAACAAAGACTTGTATATGAAATGAACCATAGTCAATTTCTTGTTTACGGGTTGCTTAAAATTTTAACAAAGGAACTGTTTCACGAAATGTTTGGGGACGATGGTAAATTGCTTTGTTCATACCACATGAAAACAGCTGTTTTCTGGGTTATTCAACAAAACACAATACCTTATTGGTGTACACAGAATCTCCTGCAGTGCTTTTGGGTCTGCTTTAAACTCGTTCTAAAATGGGTGTACGAGGGAGTATGTCCTAACTTTTTTATACCAGAAAACAACATGTTTCTCCATAATATATATGGTGAAGTACAAAAGAATTTATTCAATAATCTATATGCATTATATCAAAAGGGAATTGCATTTCTACTGCTTAGCCCGTCTATCAACCCTTTCATTAGATTTGCTCTCTATAATCCAAGACTTCGAATTTGTACAGATGAGAGCATTGTGATCTCAGAGGCTGAGTTTGATCTACAACTCTTCAATTCAATGAATGACTATAAGGAATACAATGCAGACCTACTTTTCTGTGTAAAATACTTAAATGCAGTGGAACAGTTGATAGGATCACGCATGACAAAATATCAAGTTGTAATATTACAGAGATTAACCGCAGACATACTTCAAATGATTCCATATATCCTACATAACATGTACATCAACAAAGGTTTAAATAAGTTGATTTATATTGCCGACAAAATTTCGTGCTACATGGTAAAACTGGCAGCCAAATTTGGATTTATTTCTGACATGCTGTTTATTGCCATGTATTATTACAAGACCTCGCGATACAAGAAAGTACTTTCTGTAATAGAAAAGATAAAGGTCAAATTAGCACGACCATATCTATTACATATACGTTCTAATGAATTTGACACCGAAAGCTATATTGCGGCCGTAGGAGGGGAATCCTGGTCTATAAAGATGAGAGAGGCTGTAGTAGTACAAGTGACGCTACACACTGAAATCCCTAATATCAATGAATTTATACCAGAAATTCAATCAATTCAACAAAATGGCGGGTGTGGGTTAAATGTTGGAGCCTCTATACTTTTACATATGTTGGAGGTCTTCTGCTATTTACATACTGACAGAACAAGAGCGCAAACAGCTCTAAAGGATCTTTATAACCACGTCCACTACGGTCACAAGGATATTCCGATAGGATCTAATGACATATCCTTGCAAATTCTGGGAATCTGTCAACAGGTCACGGGGAACCACCGGGCTGCCCTGTATTCATACCTGCAATCGCTCAGACAAGAACCTCTCCGTAAAATACATACTGCCACACTGATGAGAATACGAAACTTATATTCAGAATGTTGAAAGTAGAAAAGGGATGAAAATGAAGTTCCAATAATTCATTTGACAAGAATCATGTTCATCAATTAGTGACCAGAATCATAGCTGCTTATAACTGCGTAGAAATATCAAAGACATTGTTTGAGACTTTAATTATTTCTAAAAATACGTCACATGTTTTTGCTGTTTTCTAAGCGTTCTAGCTTTACACTTTTCGATGTATATAAAGGAACAATGTATTTACAGTGTATGTGTTTATAGGTGGATTCATTTAATCGATGGATTGAATTAAATTTCATTGAATAAATTTTGTTAAATCCAAGTATGTAAAATTATTGACCTTCTATACGTACATTCAATATATACTTATTCTCTAAATAGCGTATTATAAAAACAGAAACAATCAAAAAAGTGATAGTTTCTGGGGAGACGTTTTAATATTTTTGAAAAAATTTTTGAAAAAAATCATTTTGTTATATTAAAAATTCGATTTTTTGGTATCAGAAAATATATTTTCTGATATCATAAAATAAACAAGATTTTTTGATACCAGAAATTCGAATTCTTGATATAAAAAAATCGAATTCCTGACATCAAAAATATAAGCCATTTTCTGATATCAAAAATTCGAATTTCTTATATCAAGAAATCATTTTCTGATATAAAAAAAATCGATTTTCTGATATCAGAAAACGATTTTTTGATATCAGAAAATCAAATTGATTTCTTGATATCACAAAATATATTTTTTGATATCAGAGAATAACATTAAATGGCGAAGATTCTTCACATATATAATGAATACTCTCTTGAATTGTAGAAAATCCCGAACTTCAGTGCCAGATTTGCTTTCTACTAAAATTTGTTGATCTTAGATTTTATTTAAGAATATTTTTTAGAATTTAATAAGTGTTCTTGATATTTTTTATTTGATCGGAATTTAAATATGTCGCATTTTTCAGATAAATCTGAGTAAATAAGTAGGTGTGCTGTAGGTCGGGCTTAGACTCATTTCTTTTTATTCCCTTTCAACAGCAGCCATTAGCTTCTCCAAAATTATTAAAACCCTGTAAAAAGATGACAATATCCTAACCTCCAGACAAGTCCTGAACTTGTAAGAACCCAAAAAAAGTTCGCAACAAATAAGTGTGGTGGGAAGCTGAACAATCATCACATCACGGGGAGTATTCATTAAGTCGATAGATATTTTGCTTGGTTCTTATTTTCTCAGGCGCCGTTTTAATATTTTTGAGGTATTTTCTGATTTCAAAAAAGAAATTATTGATATCAATAATTCGAAAAATGATTTTCTGATATCAGAAATTCGAATTTTTGATATTTAAAAATCTTGTTTATTTTCTGATATCAAAAATTCGAATTTCTGATATCAGAAATCATTTTCTGATATCAAAAATTCGAATTTCTGATATCAGAGAGTGATTTTTTGATATAAGAAATCCAAATTGATTTCTTGATATCACGAAATATATTTTTTTGATATCAGAAGAATGTTCACATAAATAATGAATACTCCCTTGATCTGTAGAAAATGCCGTTTAGCACATTATGCATTATTCAGTATACACAGACTCTGCATTTGCATTCTTCACATACATTTGACATAATCACAGTTCCTCATGAGGATCCTGAATGGTTCCTCTTCCATGACTAGATTTCTATCATCCGTCATTTGAATCAGTTTCTCCTTCTCAAGGTCATCAGGAGTTTTTACAGGTGAAGGTCGGTCATCATGTGACCTTTGACCTTCATCCTGTGCACTCTCTGAATCTTCTACTACAAGGTCCCCTGCATTGTTATCTTTGGACAACTCTGTATCCTCTTCTCCTTTCTTCACAATTGTAAAATAATCTGCAGCTACATTGGAGTATATCTTGCCAAACAATTTTGGGTATTCATCTATATATGCAACAATGTCCATAGAAAATAATTCATCCCAGGATAAGACTTTGTTACCATCCTTATCCATTTTTGAAAAGACCTGAAATAGGATACTTCATATTTACATGTGCATGCATGACCAATGTTTTAAACAGAAAACCTAGAACTAGATTGTATGTTGTATCGGCACTCTTATCCATTAAGCAGTAATATTTATCGTACCAATGCCTGAAATGACACGGGACTTTTGTTTTTAAAATCTCATCCAAAGGACCCTCAAATTTCAATACAAATTGCCGAGCGCGTGGAGAAGGAACAGTTATTACCCTCTTTACGACTTTTATAGGTCATTCGCGACCAAGATTCGAACTCACACCCTTTCTATCACGAATCTTACGGAAAACATCCAAAAGAAAGACAGGAACTTAGAGTTAGGCATTTTTTTAAAAACACAGTCGATCGAAAGAAAATCCTAATTCTTTTCATTCCAGTTCTAAGTATAATATTTGCTACTGTTCAAATAAATAATTTCACTGGCTCAATTTATACCTCATTTAGAGTTTCCACATCGTCCTAATGGAGGGGATTTCCCGCTGCATGTATTCACTGAAGGACCTCTTGTAAAAACTCCTGACATCCTCAAACAGTTCCAAGAAAAGCATTCTGTAGAAGGAAAACACAATCTTTTAAATTTTAACACCAAGAAATATTTCGTACGTCTTTCTTCATATCCTTCCATTGGTCAAACTAAGTGACAAAAAACTATACAGTAAAACGCACCAGTAAGGAAAACACGTCTTATAATGAAATGACACCAATAGCGGAATGATTTTTATGCCCATGGGTTTTAAACATAATATTGCAATTGTGAAGCTAAAAATTATTATGCAATTATGGACCCTTTCGATGATGAATGGGATTTTTATTCTCCATAAAAATATCAATATTGATCTCGACCGAGGGAATTGCATTTTCCTTAACAAACTTCTGATGTAAAAAAAAGATATTAAAAAATGACTTATAACTGTACAACTTATTACATGGAAAATAATCCTGCGGTTTCCTGCTCAGATATACAGCTTACTCCGGCCGTTGCATCCGTTTTTAAAACGTTTTTCGAGATACTGTAAACCAACTTTTATTAGCATCATCTTTAATTCCATTACTCAGTTAAGAATCGATCATCGAAGATTAATTTTCGCTATTGAGGAACTATCCTCTACTTATTCTTTCGCTATTGAGGAACTATCCTCTACTTATACATAGCAAAATATATGCTTCGCGACGATTAATATTCGCAAGTTAAAGTAGGTCGTGAAACTCGCCGATATTTCTCGTAAGCGAATAATAAAAGTTGATTTACGGGGGGATTGATTGAATGATTGAACTGTTTGCGTTTTTAAACATTATTTTGTACCTGAATTCTACCTCAGGTTCGGACTTCTTCAAAGTCGTTAGGGGGACACTAGAATTCTGGTATGGATCCAACCCCTCACATTCTGGATCCAAGCTGTTAAACCACGGTAAATGGTGGAAGAAAAAATTAATAGCTAAGTTTCTCCTTGGCTTGGAATCCACATAATGTAACCATCTGCAAAGATTAATATTCAAAAACCATCTGATATGTGTTAAAGCATAATTGAAGATTGCATGAATGGATGTCTGAAAACTATTTATTGATGTATTTATCAAACCCAGTTAAATTTGAATAAACCATATAGATGATACCTTATAAGTAGAATTTTTGGGAGGATTTAATTTTGACATTATTAGCGAGGCTGTTGAGATCGCTAAAATTGAATATCGCTAAAAGTTAATTGCGTATTATTTGTACTAGCTTCTTTAGTGAACATTTTAAAATCGCTAAAATTACTTCTCGCTAAAAATAAAATACCAGATTTTAAGGAAAAATCCCTAAATTGTGTCTCGCTAAAATTTCCACTTTTAAGAACAGCAAAGTCATGATTATTCATTTCAATGAAACCTTTCGCATGAAGAAAATATTCAAGGTTGTTCAAATCACAACTCTCAAAAGGGTGTATGTTATGATTAAACAATCTACTCACTTGTATGGTATAAAGAACAATCTATTCAATTTTTTGGGGTATAAAACGAGTTATGAAGCTCTTTTTATACTGATTGATAGGCCATCATTTACATACTGAATTGTCAAAGGATTTTTCCCCCGTTTTTACACCGAAGATGACTAGAAACGCACGAAGGGTGCGATTGGTCGACAGGGGATGCTCAATCCTTCATGGCATCTGATCCCACCGCAGATGTTATGGATGTCCGTGTTTGCTCATATCCTATTTTGTAAGTTTAATGGGTTTTTGAGCTTGAATCCTGTTCGTTATCTCTACATATTATACAGTTATATGAATAAATAATCTACTCACTTGTATGGTATAAACAAACAATCCCCTTTGTTCATTATGGTTCTGGTGTAAGGGATATTCTGTAGCTGTGGAAATTTAAACATATCTACTGACTCTACATCTACGGCGCTGAATTCACCCTTACTATTCCATCCATGCTCCATAACCAAGTGGCGATACTTCTATTGAAAACAAGAGGCCCATGGGCAACATCGCTCACCTGAGTAACTTGGGTGATGCAGATCTTTACCAGATTCCCCCTCTTGCTATACCTATCATGCCCAACAACCCCCTTCCCTTTTTTATTTTAAAACTTTAGAATCTACACTACCCAAGGATGCTTCCTTTCCTGGCCCAGTGTTTCTTGAGAAGAAGATTTTTAAAGATTTGTTCTATATTTTTCTATGTAAAACTTGGAATTCCCTATTGTGGCCCCGCCCTACCCCCAGGGGTCATGATTTTAACAATTTAATATCTACACTACCCAAGGATGCTTCCATATAAGTTTCAGCTTTCCTGACCCAGTGGTTCTTGAGGACAAGATTTTTAAAGATTTGTTCTATATATATTTCTATGTAAAACTTGGATTCCCTATTGTGGCCCGCCCTACCCCCAGGGGTCATGGTTTTAACAATTTAATATTTGCACTACCCAAGGATGCTTCCACATAAGTTTCAGCTTTCCTGGCCAAGTGGTTCTTGAGAAGAAGATTTTTAAAGATTTGTTCTATATATTTCTATGTAAAAC